ACATAGAATATCAGCACACTGTCCATAAAACATCTGCAGTGGTATTGCATCTGGGAGCTATTTCTCTAAAGCGCTTAGGGGTTGCAAGTGAAGGGCCATATACCCACAAAAAAGCATGCTGTCACTTCCATATTCACTGTTGTCTTTTTATCAAGTTTTCAACATGTATAAACATGAAGGGGCATGAAATACTTAATAAATATTGCACTTTGAGTTTGTTATGTGAAAATCTAATAGTATTGCATGTCACAGGAGTCAGAAAAGTTATTCTAGCCAGTCAAGAAAAACGTATTATTAGGCACAGACTCCATGCAGGAGTGTATTATGTAGGAGTGACTCCATGGTCTCTTTTCATTACTCACATGGGTTGGTCTGCCAAAGGAAAGCACCACCCTCCTGCTCTGCCCAAGACGTACTACCTCGGATGCCTAGCATTGCTTTTACAACTCAAGCCGAAAATGGACAACACTTACAAACACTGTAAGCATAAAAAATATTCCATTAATCAAGCAGGAACAGGTTACCTATGATCCACTTATGCAAGTAATATGGTGAATTCTCAACATGTCAATTTTCTTAGTTTCCTGGAGCAGCATGTGACCACTACAGTATCGGCTGAATTAATTTCTTGTAGATACCAAAGAGATATCTTTTCTCGGTACATCAGTATGAATTGTACTATATAATGCAGTTGTTTCTTAATAAGAAAACTTAGACTGGGAAGAACTGAAAATTATACAGCACTTTCTGTGTAAAGGGAGAAATAACTGTAGTGAACCCACAATTTTACTCAGCACTAGATTCAAGTATCCTATTTGATTAGCAGAAATACGTTTGATGTGTACTAATGCTGAATCTTTCACATGCCAGAATGTAAACCAAGGGTGCTGAGCCACAATCTATAGCATAGTGCTATTATAAAACTGATATACAATGATAACCTGATATACAGTAATATAACTCATTAAGCTGGGAAAACATGAGGTGATCATTTTCACCCAGTCTCTGTCTTTAGACAGTAGAGTGGCTGCCCAGTTACATGACAGAACAAACATAAGTAATGACCTGATGTCCCCCTTATTGCTCTCTAACAGGACAATGGCACTCAGAAGTCCTCTAACCCAGCAGGTAAGAGTGGAATTTTAACTTGGGATTACAAACTCTTATAGCTTAAAATGAAATACAATTGTATTGATGGCTTACTGTATGTATAATAAATGTTTTTCTACTAAAGCAAGGGATATGAGAAAAGTGGAAAAGCACTGCAGCCAGACAGAATATTTTAGTGCTGAGCAAGTTTAAGTAAATCAGGGTAAATCTAAGTGCATTCACAGAAAAGACAGCAGTGTGAATATTAACACAAGAAACAGGCGAAACAAATAAATAAAAAGAGGCATCGACTTTAAATTCCATATAAATATACAGGAAACCTAAAATAAAATTGTGGATTATAAATAATAAATGAAGAAAACAAAGAGACAAGAGAGCAAACAAAACACAAAAATGAAATTTTTGCTGATATAAAGCGTTTGTCATTTTCACAGTTCTCCAGGGTCTCTTACCGAGGCAGCTCAGGCTCTGAATAAATGACAATAAATATTTATAATAAAAGACACCATGCCTGATAAATATTAAAGTGTGCGCTCACTGGAGCTAGGGCACCGAGTTGGAGCATGGGAGTCAGAGGCTGTGAGAGCTGTCCACACACTCAGTGCTGAAAGAACAAACCAGCCTTCAGAAACAGCGCCTAATGAGCGTTAGATCCACTACAGGCCCTGACTTCAGCTAACAAATGTGGCTCATAGCAGTGGTCCCCATCTCCAATCCCTGAGGCAGCTCTTACCTAGGTAACTGAACTAATTATGAACTTAATTGGAAATATTTCCAATGTCTATAGCATGTAATGACTTCAATAAAACTATAAACCCTGCAAGACTGCAGCCCTCTAGGATTGGAGTTGAGGAGCACTGGTGTATAGCAGTACTGCTGTAGGTGAGAAAAAATTGCAAATGTTCATTAAAAGAAAAATGCAGACATAGGGGCAAGTGAGCCTGTATTCCTCAGTGTGTCAATATATATACAACTTTTTACTACAAATTAATTTATTTCTATAAACAACAACTAAAGAGTTATGCTATGAGAATTTGCAAGATTGCAGCATGGTAAATCCAGCATAACTTTTGAAATGGTTTGCAAACATAGTTTGTAGCTGCAGGGGTAGCAGGAAATTCTACTTAAAAAGCAAAAAATCGAACATATACAGTGTATCAAAATTTCATCTGTCGATGTGACTCCTTCATGGGGCTTACAGTATACTGTATATTGGATCGAATGGACAGCTTAGAGTTGCCATTTGGCTTACCAGCTTGTCTTTGGGAGGAAACAAGATAACCAGAAGAAACTGTTTGTACGTGCTTATTTTCTCAAAATCCAAAAAACAAGCGTGAAGTAACCAGCACTTCACGAAAGCCTACACGAAAGACCAATTAGCTAGTAAAATCTGCTGTGCTACAAAAGTTGTACTTTCACTGCATAACTGGCCATACTAGGAGAGCAAAGAGATTTTGCTGTCTGTGTTCAAAGTCATACAGACCTCACTGAGTCCCTCACCTCGACAGCAGCAGCAGGACTGAGCTCAGGCACACTCAATAGTTAAATAACTTAGCCACAGCGCTTGTCTCCTTTGTAAATTGTGCAGGGACCCTGGTGCACAGTAAACCCCTAACCTCAGGAATCATCTGTTTCCAATATCTCCAGCATGTCTCCCTAAATTAGGAATTATCTGTTTCCAATAGCATTGTGCTGAGATTCATGTGAAGCTGCTGTGATTACTGCACACTGACATGGAGCGTGGCATGCATGGCAAGTGCTCTGCTGACTGTAACGTGCTGAAGAATAGTGAGAGAAACTCAGCCTACTGGAGCTTCGGCATCTTTCTTCAACTTTTAATAACGGTTCTTCTACGTGAACCCCATCAGAGGGAAGCCAAGAAAGTTCCCTACCACTATCTGCTCATTGTGAATGGCTATTTCTTTGTTAATGCTGCATATCCACAGGACTCATCCTGAGCAGGGCCCTGCAAGCTTTGTTCCTGCTGTGTTTGCAGTTCATTCCTTTGATGATATGTAGTTTGAATGTCACTGATGGCTTTGATGGTTGTGACAACAACAAACTATCAGTGAGATTAAAAACATCGCTCCAGTGACTATATTCCTCGATAAACAAACATTCCAAAAGTCTCAACATTTTTCAAAAGTCCAGCCTGTGAAGGGTACCTGTCATTGTCAAAATGATGGACAGCTGTACTGGTGGATAGCTGGAGGTGAAATTGCAGTCATCTATTCCAAACACACACACACAGACATTCCAACACATTGCAACGTGGACAATAAGCAATAAATCTCAATTAAATGTAACAGAATGATATGCACTCGTTGCCCTTGTAAGAAACCGTTAGGTGCATTTGCACTGACGATGACATTCTACTCTGCAGTGCATGCTGACGGCAACCCCCCCACCGCGCTATAAAGACATCACAATGATAACTTCTATTAATGTGAAGTTAATGAATAATTTAAACATCTGCTTGAGATAATGAAGAGGCTGTCATAGTATCCAGGCATCCCCACAGCTGTGGTCTATGTGACAGGTGTTCACAGGGCGAGTGGGTAGGAGAGCGTCCTGACTCGTTGCTTTCTGTACTGATAGCATCTCCACACTCCACTGCACAGTGGGGGAAGGGGGGTGAAACACACACACACACACACACACACACACTACACACTCACTGTAGCCTGTGCATCTGCAACACTGCTATTAACCGCTTTTACAGATACAAAGTAGTGGGAGAAAATATATTGTTGCTCTGGAATCAGTCCAGAGAAGAGCAAGCAGGTATATTTATGGGCTCAAAGGAGAATGTCCTACTCTGACAATACAAGCATATAGAAATAATATTTTTAAACAGAGAAGACTATGAGTGAACCTGATTCAAGATTCAAAACCCTCAAAGGCAAGTTTAAAACCTTATGTGCTTCTTCAAAATGAACAGTGTAGCACGATCCAGAGGACATCAAATGGAAACTAAGGCAGGTGCTTTCAAAACTGAGAAGGAGGCACTTATTTGCACGATGGATTGCAGAAGTGTGGAACAATCTGTCTAGCCATATTGCTGAGGCTGATTCCCTGGTTTCTTTCAAGAAATGAGCTTCTCTGACCAATATCTAAAAACTACTAACCTTATGTTCTTGTAATGCTTGCCTTTACAGGGCATTTCTTTGTTTCAAGCACTTTGCTAATTGGACAATGCTTCCTATACACTGGTGAAAGCAGCTTAACTGGTAAGGAAAGTAGCCACCTGTTTTTTTTTTTGCTTTTCAGAGTTCAGCTGGTGAGAGCTCAGCAGAGCTGTCAGTGCTTTGTCATTGGTGTCCAGGATTCAGTGAGAAGGTGCCTAACTGAAAAGAGTGAGGGAGTGAGGACTGCACTGGCAAGCTCTATCAGTCATTTACAACCTAACTCTGCCTCGGGTCTTCAGTCAGCTGTGCTGATATCACTGTCGTCTGCAAAATGACAGAAACTAGTTTTTCTCAGTGCTGTGACACTGAATTAGAGATGATAAGTATTTTATTTACTTTCTCAGTTTCCCACAGGTGGTGTGAAAACTGTAGTTAGATTTGATTAGAAAAACAAACTATTTCATTTTCTGTAGATGGTGCTATTTGAATGAACTACACTGCTAATGTAAAATGAATTAAGTATTACCGTCTTTATCTCACTTTACATTTGACTAAAGTCGATTATATTATTCCTTGGTGTCTCTTTACATCAGACATGAATGTATGAGAACAAACCTGCTTCCATTCTTTGTTAAGGAGCTTGCTTAATGCTTGTTCAGAACCACGTTGGAGTTTAAACTTGAACGTGGTACGATAAAACAACATGCGTCTGAAACTGCTCGAGACATGTCAACAGGGGGAGCACAGGACGGGGCTACTCACCAGGACCTGCAGCACAGAGCTACCCACTGATGTATTTTCTGTTAGGCTGATATTATATAGCGCCTTGCTGAAGATAGGGCGGTTGTCATTCTCATTGATCAGGTCAATGCGAACCCGGGCAAAACCAGCATGCTCCGATGATGTCTCGTTGGCATAAAGCTGAAAGAGGAGTGAGGCAGAACAAGAAGTGTTAACAGACACCCCAGTGGCACACATCCTTCTGTGCTTATGCCCTGCAAAACATTTTGCAAAAATATTTTTGTGTCTTTGCTTTCTTAATTTTGCACTTCGAGTCCTGCTACAAAAGACTGGTTCTTTTCTAGAAGGAAAAAAAAAGACTTCCTTTAATTAAAAGAAAAGATTAATTAAATTCTTGCTAGTAAAGAAATCAGACTTTGGTAGGGGTAGTAACTTTAAGCAGTTTGTATGCTTTGAAATGGCTGTGAGGACTGCCCTCTGCTCACCGTGTGTGTTAGACGATAGATTGAGGAATAGAAAGGAAAAAAGAGGGTGAATGTGAGAGCGTGGAGGAAAATTGGTATGATTTGGTGTAATACTGTATTTACTTTCCCCAGACGGGACTGAACTAAAGAGTCATGCTTTACAGGACTAAAGGTGTCACAGATAGAAACTCTTGCTTCTCAAGCAGTGGGTCAGCAGTTGGTACCTGTGCACATATACCACATCGTGCCAGTAGGGGTCACTCACCACAAGGGGCACAGAGAAAAAGGTCACAACAAAAACAGAGAAGAAGTGTGATAGAGATGTAGTAGAGTAGTAGAGAGACGGAGAAGCAAGAAAATGAAAGCGTGTGAGAGGATGTAGAACTTAGGTCACCGCATTACAAAAATGACATTGCTGCTCCAGAATCAGTCCAGAGAAGAGCAACCAGATACTTTCTGAGGCTTTCTGAGGCTTAAACAAATGTTCTACATTCTACATCTGACAGCTAAAAAAATTAATTCATTAAGGGTCTTAAAAAGAGAAGACTACAGGGATTCAAAATCCTCAAAGGCATTGACAAATGCAAACCAATGGACCCAATGGATCCAAAGCCAACAGAAAAACTAAGGGAAAAGGAAAATAAAACAGGGACTTCTTTACACAAAGTAAAGAAGTAAACCTCTTTAGTAATCCTCTTACTAAAGAGCTACTCAGCCATGCTGTGGCAACGAATACCCTAACGTTTTGAAAAAATGGTTGGATGATATCCTCAGACCCATTAGGTTACATCAACCAAGCTAGATGGGCTGAATGTTCTCTTGTTCTCAGCTTTTCTTCTGATCTTATGTGTGGGAGACAAGGAGAAGTTGGCACTCACTGAAAACTGGTAGCTGTTGATCGTCTCATAATCCAGGGGCACGGCCACACGAATGCGAATGTCTGCTCGACCCTGGACAGAGGTTGGTGAGATGGTGAAGTGGTCTGAGTTATTACCTGTCAGGAACACTTGGAACATGCTGTTCAAGCCCTGTGATGGAGACAGAAATAGAAAGCTATGAAGATTCACATGGAAAGTATGAATTATATTTCAGGTACATATACTGTATACTGTATATACATAGTACATGTTTAAGTACATTGTTAACAGCTGTATTATCTTAGCTGTGCTGCTGTGGTAACTTACAGTAATTAAAGTGTTCTGGTATTCACAGTGCATTCGAGTTTTTTACATGCAAAAAGTGCTGTCACATTTTTGACGTGATCTTCTTCACTGTAAAGTTTGTATGAAGTGAGAGCAGTGAAGCCCGAAAGGGAGGGGACGTCGCAGTCAGTTTGGAAAATAAAGCAGAGCTAGACTGCACTGCTGGCAGAGTGAGCCATTGCTCTGTGAGTGCAGTGTGTTATCACCTGCATCCCGACACACAGCCTCCACTGACTTGTAGGGCTGCTCTTCCCACATTCATTAAGGAAGGATTAATTAAATTTGTCTGGCAATGACATACAAACTGTTTCTGTGGTCCATTGAATTGTTACGGAATATGTATGCCATCGTAGTTCCAAAAAGCTTATTGGTGCCATTTATTTGTTTGTTTATTTTCTGAGTGAAAAAGCAAAACAGGTTTAAGTTTATCTAATTTTTCTGTTAGTTTAAGTTTGGAAGTTAGGTGTGCAGATCCGTTTTGTGTAACTCAGTCTTGTAGTGTAATTCAGTGGCTCAGGCTGTGGGACACACAATGGGACACACAAGGCCTCAGCGCAGACACTGCTGGACAGCAGGGGCATGCCCACTGGTCTGTGCAGAGTAAAAAGAGCTGCTCCCAGCTCCGAGCTTATCTTGATCAGACGTGCTTTGTGACAGAAAATCAAACCCTATGCTGTCTTCATTAGCTCAGCACCTCTCTCAGCTCTTAGGAGGCTTAATTAAAGACCAGGTTCAAGTGGTTGGGGGGTAGATGGTGGGGGAGGCATGTAGACTGAAAATCCTGTCCTCTGATGTCTACAATAAATCCATTCTTTCCTATTGACGTAAGATAGGGTATTTATTAAACTCATACCTGCTTTATTTAACTACAGTGGCGAGGACAAATGTCTCTCGGTACATTGGCTACGAAATTGTAATTCAAATAATTCATGAAATTTCACAGTTGCAAGCCAATGATGAAGAGGGCAGCCGCATTACTGGACACTGGAGTGTTTGACTGAGAGTTTGACTGGCACTCAGCCAGGTGTCATTTATCCTTGATGTTGTATATGCCGCATGAGTATCTGCGCAGGTCAAACACCAATCAGGATCCTAGGAAAACCTCTTACTCACAGGCTATATTTGTTCTATATGGAATTTACTTATTGATTGTTGCCACTGGGACCCTGGGGCACCTTCACAAAGTCAAAGAAAAGAGATCTAGAAACATGGTAACTTGCCCTAATTAGCAAATGACTTAAACTTAAGTGGTCCAGTAAAGTCATTTAGACCTCAGGTGCAACGAAAATTGCGCAAGACTTCATATTGTTGCCTAAAGATTATTGTAATTAAAAGGTATTTTAGTGTTATTGTATTAGACCATAGTATATTTTCAGTAACTTAGTGTTAGAGCTAAGCTGCAGAGTGTTTTGTTCAGTTTTAGAGGTAGGCAGGTATCTCAGAGATAGGGTGCACAACTTCCATGCATTTAGTAGCTCAGTGTTGAAAGCATTAGAGCATTGGACTACAGTGTGCATAGCAGATCACAGAGTTATAGCAATGGACTGCATTGTGTTTAGTAGTGTTTTTATTAATTACTGACCAGCACTCAGTAGTTTGGTGGTAAAGAGTTAGGTTGCAGTATGTTCAGTAGCTGTAGCACTCATTTGCAGTGTGTCAAGTTACTCGATGTTAGAGCTGGGTTGCAGTGCAGTGGGGTGCAGTGAGCACTCAGAGAATATTCCTCTCTGCCATTAATATGTATGTTTGCAATCTTTGCAATCATACTATCACCTATGTTTTCCTCTATCTCTTCATCTGTTTACACCTGGTTCCCTCTCTATTTATTAATATACTGTACAGTACCTACTATTCCATACTTTCTTTCTCTCCTTATGGTTGTTTGTTAATCAGAGGTTCATTATTTTCTAAATGATGCAGCTCAGAGCTTAGTGATGATCTGAATACCAGTCCAGGATACTAATATCTTATTCCAATACCCCTATATTTCTATGGTATTAATAGACAAATACAATTGATCTGGAACTAGAAATCATTATATTGTAAATGCAAAAAATCATTAAACATTTAAATGAAAGCATTTGGTGAATACAGTAAAAATAACATTTACACACACACAAAAAAACAGAAACCAATATGACCCAATACTTTTAAACTAATCTGGAACTTTCATAAACCCCTGTCCTATATCATTCACTAATTCATGCCTATTGAAGTTTGAACTGCTGGTTATGATATATACTATCCACTTGATTTTAATCTAGCTGTTTCAGAACAGATTGTCAAGAACTACAATCATTTTAGCTGTACGTAAGGAAATGGCAGGAATGATGTCCAATGGCTTGCAATGCTTGTCACCATCTTTGCTGAATCTAATAGTGCATTTATGGCCTTATAAAACAAAGATTATAAAAAACTGAAATAGATATGTAGGGACTACTAGACTGAGGTGGACTGATATTTGAACCATCATGTAACTACAAGAAATGGGAAACAGACATTCCCACAAGTCAGACATAGAGGCGGTTTGATAGAACCTGTTGCAGGAAATTAAATATCTTTTACAATAGTCCTGGGGCCTCCCTAGAGGAACAGTGAAAAAGAAGAAGCACAAAAAATATTTGTTCCAATATTTGTTTTGAAAAGTTGCAATAACATTTGTGGATATACAGATTCTAATCAGAGGATCTCGTTTATTAAGGCTGAACCACTCTAGCTTTAATGGAATAGTCTATGAGCCAGACTTTAACTCTAATCTCACTTTACATTAATGCCAGTGTAGCATTTCTTATAAGCAACTCATTCGCCTCTTAGTTTATAAGAAAGTCCCTATGTTCCCTCTTTATCTATTTCCAAGCAACAGAATCAATAAGGGACAATTTTAGAGTAACATGGAAATGTAATCCCAATATGGCAATAAATGTCAGAAATGAAAGGTTAAGAACTTTAAAATCAGCTTTAATCCTCTGTCATGTAACGTCACATCAGAGGTGTGAGGCTGAATTGACAACACACGTCATGTCATGTGACATCTTGCTTTGAACACTTGGTTGTGTATGGAGAGCTCAGAAGACAGTCGTTGCCAAAGTATTTTTCCGACTTTTCTTTAGAACATCTTACACCACAGTAAAAGATGTGGCGGAACTGAATGAGAACACCAGCAGGTGTTTGAGCTTTACTGTAAAGTGCCCTGGGCTCTCTGGCATGAAGAGCACCTCATAAGAGATGGAAATAATACTCCCATTGCACAGTGGCTTTTAGGTTCTATGATGTACAGACTCCTTAAGCCAAAAAAGTTCAACCTTTCTTTGCCATATTTTAACAGAATCTGCATGGACAGACAGGGATTTAGAGCAGTATTTTAAGTTCTGTATTTGCTTTCTTACCTCATCAAATTTTATAAGAGCTTGAGGTTAATGAAAAACGAAGCGGACCAAAATGCTATGCAATGAAAGCCTTATTTCTGTCGCCGGAATTGGACTGTTTGCATTGTCTTGCATCCTTGGCAGGTAAAGGCTTTGGGTTAAGACCAGGCCTGCTCTCTGATACACTAACACTGTCTGCTGTGCACACAGATACCACTCCAGAGTACACAAGCCTGCCTAAAGGACTCTTATCATTTCACAGGTGTATTGGGTTGTTTGATAGAATTTTATTCCCATTTCTCACTTGAGTTTACTGCAATGAAAAAAATATGCGGTTCAGAAGGTATGTCTCTCTGTCTTCTCTCTCTGATCACCCCCTCCCCCCTCTAGCTATTTCTGTTTCTCACTTTTCCTTTCTACACGTCTCTCGCCCAGTGATCTCCTTCCTCCACTATCCCTCTCTCCGCTCTCCTCTTCTGCACTCTCTTTCTCCGGCTCTGTCTCCACTATGCCCTCCTCCCCCTCCCTTCCTCTCTTCTCATCTCAGAGTTATCTGTCAAATTCCATCCACACGGCTGCTGTGTAGGAATCAATCAGAGTTGACTAGCTTTCGGCTTATCTCAACTCAGAATGATTGATTTTCCTCGTTAGGTATAATTTGATGCTCTATCCCATCTCTTCCAAAGCAAATTAAATTGTAGTTGAGTCAAATCTGCAGCTAGTTCTTGCTTGCGTGTTTGTGTGAGGGAGTGTGTGTGTCTGTGGTGGGGGGGCAGGGTGGCGGTGGTTAGATACAGCTAATAGCAATTGGCGGACACATGATGTAAAACTAAAGAGGATGCTGTATGAACAGCCCTGTCTGCAGCAGCTCCCTCAGGGCTCCCGGCTAGTTCACAGCATACAGCACTCACAGCACTGATCTTATGGCTCATAGCATGCACAACACAGATTTTATATCTCATCCGATGCAAAGCTTAAAGAATGCACAACACAGACCTTACACCTCACGGTGCTCAAAGGACAGAACATATAACTGACAGCACACGGAACACAGAGATCACCCTGACACCTCCCCCACTGGTCCCTGTCCCCTCTGCCCCTCACCTCGTCCTTGTCCTGGGCCTGTATGAAGAGTGGCAGGGCGAAGCCGACCTGCGCCAGCTCAGTGATGCGCACGCGGTACTCCGAGCTGTTAAACTCGGGTGCGTTGTCGTTGACGTCAATGACCAGGATATTGAAGGTGGTGGTGACTGTTGCATTGGAAGGCGTACGGTCCTCATTGAGCTCCGTGCCCTGTGAGACAGAGAGAGCAAAAAGAACTACAAAAACCACTTCAGGCACCGCGTTTGGAACTCTTTTATTTTCCAACAAAAATCTAACAACGTAATTAATATTATCATTCAACACCAGGGGATGAATATATTTCATGCATGTTGGCCAACTTTGAGCAAGGTTCCATTAACAGAAACATGGAGGTGGTATTAAATATATTTGCTTTTGAGCTTCAGAAATTCAATTTATAGATGATCTAACAGCTTTTTAAACTTGAAATGCACTTAATTGACTCTAGTGCCATTCAAGCTATTTCCCTGTCCTGAGAAAGAAAGCACTAACATGGCCACTGAGCACAACTGTGTTTCCAAGTGTTCACAGGAGAGATTCATTGACCACCAACACACTGGCTGGATGCACAGATTAGCCACCATACAGAACACACTTGGGTTGAGGTGTTTAATCATTTTCACTGCAGTGCTAATGCCTTTGATGCATGAATTATCATATTTTAAACACCTAAAGTGATAGTTGTTCCATAGTTCAGCAACAGAACAGATTGGAACATCTGGTAATTGACTATGCCAAGAAGAGGAAGTCAGAGAGGAAATTACCTAAAATATTGCTCTTCATAATTGATCCTGTGGCTTTAAATAATAAAATGTCCCAATGGGAAAGCACAGACAGAATAAGAGCCACGACAAAAAATCAGGCAGACTTGAGCAAATAGTGTTCTTTGATTAATAGACGTTCTGCAGCAGCCCATTACAAGAGATCCCACTGAGGTGAGCAGGCATGAGCCTTCGCTTGCAGCGTTAAATACCATGAAGCGAAGGCGCACGGCGCCGAATGCAGTGCAATGGGGCGTAATGGGTTATCGACTGCACGGTGCGCTGAGGAGAGGAGCTGAGAGGATGTGCTCGGTGGGGTCAGGGGTAATAACGCAGTGTCACTTTCCCTCATTGCACCCGCTCTCCCGCACAGCCCTCCTTTATTGAAGTTGAGAAATTAGTTTTATTACTCCGACTCGGAAAATCAATGCTGCCACTAAATCCTGTTTGAGGGGGAAAAAAATAAAATCCATACTTACAAATATGTTTTTTAGATTCCATTTTTATCTTTTTTCCCTCTTTCTTTTAATCATTGATTTTAATTAAGAGGAGAAATCAGCCAAAGAGTGCATTAGCTGGCAGACTTGGAGGAATCACAGTGCACACACAGACGCCCCTGCTCAACATGAACTATAAATTGTATTGTACTGTAGCTTTCCCTGTTAACTGATAGTGAAAATTGATGCAGATGCCACGCTGAAAGAAAGTTCGGCCTGCAAAAACGAAATTCCTGGATGCAGTGGTTTATTTCATATGAAAAAAATGAAAATGGTGAAACCACAAGAATAAAAGTTCATTTTGCAGTTTAATGGAGCTGTTATAAGAAGATTGTGTGCTTATCTACCCTGTGGTCTGACCTCGTTAAATATGCCCGTGGCTTTGCACAGAAGGCAGTTTCCTGGCCATCCAGAGAGGTTGTGGAAAAGGCAGCTCTCTGCTCAGTAGGGGGCACTCTTTCACCCTCGCCCATGTTTAAAAACTTAGAAGAAATTCAGCTGTAACAGATCTGGTCCACCTGCCCAGATAAGGTGCAGTATACTGTAGTTTAATATCCCTCACTACAAAACTGCTGATGTGTATGGTTTGTGTTTCTGCCTCTGGAGATTTCTTAGAAATATCTATGCACATTGTTCTAAAACAACAAAAAAACAACTATCAGTCTAGTCTTTCTCACAACAACCAGCTAGGCACTGCTGGTTCAGGAGTTCACATTGGGCCAGTAAAGGCTGCGTTAAAAGAAAGCCTGCACAGGGTTAAGAAATGCACTGACCCCATGCAATTTAAATCCATGTTCTATTGCAGACTCTCCAACTCTTAATATGCCTCCTCACTGTAATCCATTTTTCTAAACAGGAGGGCATCTTTCCTTCACAGGCAGATAACCAGTGAATTTTAATCTTCAGCCAGCAACACAGAACCTTCTGTATTACACTGCTATCCTGCGAAGAGAAAAGTGCAGCAAGACTGCCGTAGATAAGGCCCTGTTGGGACTAGAGTTCTCTAAACATTTTAGTTCCAGTTGATAAAAGAAAAAGGTTGTGGCCTTTTAAACTGAGGCTAATCAGTAATGCTTAGAACAAGGCAGGTTCTCTGAGGCAGAGGATGTTGTTACAGCGGTGTGATGGAACCCAGGTTGCTGGTGTCAGAGGGCGCACAAGGGAGACTGTTTTCCACGCTTAGTGTCCAATAATAATGTGGGGGTGAGAGGGAGAAGGGCAGGGGTGCGACGCAGTGCGTGGGCGAGAGGTCACTGTACTTCACTTACAAGTCACTCCTCAGGGATGGCAGGAATTCAAGACAACAAGAGAAGTGAACACAGACTCAGAAAAGAGATATTGGAACCAGCAGGGCTTTGCATTGTGCTGAGCAGCCCATAGGATATTAAAGCCAGCTCATTCTGTCAGAGCTCTGGTGTGTTATCTTTCAAAGAGCTGCAGGGACTGGCGGCTCTCCCCTGAAATAATGAATTTTTCCTCTTATTTGTATAATATCTCCCTATCGGTTTTATACAGTATAATGCACAATGCTATAAAACAAAGTATTTTTCTCCTCTTCTTTCAGGCATATTCCGGATAGGGCTGGGAATGGCAGGTGTTTTAAAAATAAGAATTTGACCGTCAACAAAACATGCACTTGCCATTCTCGTATTGAATAATCCAAGAACGTCCTTATGATTTTGAAGTATTCAGACTTACTGGATATAGAATAGTTCACATTCCTAACCTTTTCTAACTATGCCAAGAAGAGGAGGTCAGAGAGGAAATTATCTAAAATATTGGTCTAAGGAAAATTTTGAGGAAAAGTGTTAAGAATATACAGAAGTGTTTTGTTGGGATTACCTTTAAGAACTTGAAAAAAAAAGACTAAAGCTGATTCCTTGAAATACTTAAAAAATGGTCAGACATGCTCCTTGGGAGGGTAAGCTACTTGAAGATGCATCAACTACTTTCTTCTGATTTGAATCAAGAGAATTTGAGCATAAAGTACGTTTATAATACAATTACTTTTCTGATTCTGATTGAACTTTGTACAAGAGGTCTTAAGTAGGCTACAGTACCCGGAAGCAATTAAACTCTTGATTGAAACCCTTGTTATCTAGAGGGGAATGAAGTAGTGGCCAAGCCCCTCCCTCTCTCAGCACGCCCAGCCATACCCTGACAGTAAGAATGAATCCGGCACTGTAGAGAGGGTTCTCGCGGTCCAGCTGTCCATTCAGCGTTAGCGCTCCGCTGATGTAATCCAGAGCAAAGATGCTGTTGGTGTTGCCTGCACAGATACAAACAGAGGAAAAAATCAAGAGGAACAATGCAGATGCAAAGAAAGGTTGCAATCCAGGCACAGAGAGGACAGCTAAGTTGGAATGTACTTTGAGACTGGCACGCAGAGATCACCATGAACAACTGTTATAACTCATGAAGTAAGTCCAGATCAGATGATATTAAAGATCCCTTAATCAGAACAGGATAATTGTGAGTGAGACCCCAGGAAAGGTAACATGCAGACTGACATTTCCCCATTCTAAATTTATCACATAAAAGTAGCATGACAGGAATCCTACACTCCTTAAACCCTGCTTGAAAGGAGCAGCTCTGGTGGAAGACAGTGTCTAGTCTTCCTTGAACTAGCTCTAGGCAGTGCCATTGTTCAGGCTAGTTGAGAGGAAAGAGGTTTCCTCTTTAAACCTTACAGTACAAGTAACAGATAAAGGCCCATACCAGAGCCACAGTGACTCATCGGACTAGAGCTCATCTTGGTTTCTCTAATGTTAACTGGACTATAAATCATATGACCCATCTTCCTCGATGGGATGCCAATCTATTAAGGTGAAGTAGTCCTGGTCCTCATTTTAAGGAGGCCAGACTATTAAAACCCAGAGAACAATTTAGTCTAGACACTGGGACTAACACCCCTACTCTTACGGACATGACCATAGCATCTTTAATGACTAGGTAGTCAGGACTCATTCTTTACTCTTCCTAATTTACTGCTTTGCAGCTCTTAGACAGAGATTACTTTAAATTTAGACAACAATGATCTAAAAAAACACAGAATGCATGATTACTATTTTATCTCTTAATACCATTTCCAGTCTTTTTCTCTTATCACATAGGATCGAGTACCACTAATACATCACAACTAAAACCAAATAAAAGCTCACTGGGACAGCAAGCACCACACTGTCACACACTGAGGACTCTATTGCTTCCCTTAAAAACACAAATATGAAAACTAAAAATAATAAATTAGGACTAAAATAACAAGAAGGGTGTTATGCACGACCCCAGATATTTTCTCCCATCTCCATAAATAAAATACAGACCACTTCTGAGAACTTCTATAATTTTTACCTTTACAAATACATTTAAGATTAAAATTCAAGGGATTTGGGCAGGGTTAGAGGCTGCCCTGTCTTTAATGAATGCAGCTGGACTTAAGTTTGGAGCTCCACAAACTGATTCACCAATTGACAGTACCTGTGTGAAAATGCAGAGGCAGTATTGTGTCCTCAGTGCTTGGTCAGTTAGCTTTTCATGGGGCTCAGCTCCAGCTATATAAATCAGCACCATTGTTGAGACAGACTTGATGGTGGTGAAATCTTTTTCATGCGGTTTGAATTTGTGTTTCAAATAGTTCTTATTTTGATTTTTACTGTGGGTTTCCAAACCCCAGTCTAGTGACTCTTATTGGTCACCCTAAGTCACATTCTTATGTGAAGATCAAAAACCATTGTTATGTATTGATCAACTAAGCAAGCTATTTATTCAATAAAGGTAACCAAGCTATTTTCTGTGTCTGATTTGTGACACAAATCAGTTCTAAAATTGAAGAAATAATCTGTATATATTTGAAAAATTACACGTTTCCAGGCGTATCAGAACTGATGACTAAATGGTTGCCTATTAAGCCTACTGGATTGTACCTGTCCAAGGACTAGAGAGCAGAACATAATTTCTTAAATAAGTTTCATTTCACATTTATACCATGATTTAATAGTAAACTTTTCTAAGTGCACAGACACACCCCTCTCCATATCTTTCCCTGATTTGCTCTCTCACTCTCCCTGCCACAGCACAACCAGCTGGTCTCTCCGCTCGCTGCACACTAATTACACAGGGCAGATGGAAGCAGCAGACAGTGAGCGATAAGCCTCTTCATAGCGTTACCCTCACCTGCTATAACACAACCACCCTGCAACATGAGAATAACCATCCTGGGGGTTCAGAAATGAAAACAAGACCCACAGAAACAAGTAGAAATTAAGTGCAGGTTTCTTTAGGGTGGAAGATTATAGGCACATCTTTTTGTAAAGCAGAACTGGGGTCTGAAACAAGACTGGACAAGACTCTTGGATAAATAAATTGTTGAAAAGCTTCAACTGAGAGAACGAGACCAACAACCTTGGATAACTTTTCCTATAACTTTTCCTTGTGCAAGACCAGCCCTCCTCCCCTTGCCCTCCAGGAAATTCCTACACACTCTTTTGCTTCTTCTAAGTTTTACCTCTCTTTCCAACTCTCCTCTACATTTCCCTTGCTCCGTACTTCACATTCCCTCTGGAACTTATTCTTTCTTCACTTGTGGCCCCTGAGGCCTCTGCCTCTCTCTTCACCTACTATCCTTTCTGTTTGTGTCATTTTCTTCAGGCTCAGAAGACAGTGCTGCAGTCACTGTCCCCCCCTGGCCTGGCTGGCGAGGAGCAAGGGCCTCTGTGACTGAAACCCAGGCCCCTCACGCCTTGAGCCGGAAATGTTATAGCTTTCTGAAAAAGACACATCCATGCTCTTGTCCTGTGGCTTGCAGTGGTGGCTTTATCCACATGCCCCACTCTGGCACTGAAAGGGACTGGAGGATATTCTGATATTCTTACTTCTTAGCCACAGTCATGTCCGGCTGCTTTTTCTAGAATCCCATAGCTTGGCCTCACAATTTGCATCAGGTCTCATGACTGCTTGTTTAAATCCCGTTTTCAATCCTGAAAGCCCCTGTAAGATTCATTTCTATTTCTATAGGAAAATACAGTACTACAGGCTCGTTGGCAGTAACAAAGAGTCCACCATATTTAGAGCACTAAAACCCTCTTAGCAATTACCTGCCTGTGTCTTGGGAGACAAGTGAAGTTCTGGGAGGGGGGGCACAGGAGCAAACTGAGTGCTTCCACTAAAAACCCATAATGACCAATTGCATTGCAAAGCTGAATGTTTTGAACCAGCACAGCATCACCCAATGCTCTTTCCAATTTTGCTTCCCACAAAGGGAGGGGGGTGATTTTCTCTCTTAAAGCAATCATTTGTCTCCTTCCATTTCTCTCTCGCTCTCTGCCAAGGATACACTCACAGCAAGCACTCAGGAGGAAGATCATTCCTGACATCATTTAACGTTCAAATAAAAAGTAAAAGACACATCCAACGACAGATAGAGTGCTAGGGAGGTGGAGAGACAGGAAGAGACAGAAAAGGCGGACTGTGCGCTTCAGTACACTAATTCTAGATGTACACATAGCATCCCCCTGAGACGATGTTAACAGTAGATATCTTAATGCGTAAAGGGTTGAATGTATTTTTGTGTTTGAATAAAGCTGACACAAGAAGTAACTGCCTGTGCTCTGTAGATAATGTTGTCATTGAACAGTTTTACTGATGCTGCTTTGAGTGGGACCATCTTCGCACTCACTGCAGAAAATAACCAACAGGCAAAGTCTGATTGTTGCATGGCAGCTAATAAAATATCCCGCATCTTCTAATCAACAGCTGTTTGAAGAAAGGAAAAAAAATAAATTGCCAGTTTGATGTAGAAGGAGAGGAACACTACAGGAACTAATGCCACTGAAATTCACTTACAATCCTCAAGATATATTAAAGCACAATTTTAACGTTCTAAATTTTATCATACTAAATTGAAAATTCTGAATCTAAAACTTCAATCTCTAATCAAGCGTTATAGCAAAAGGAAGAATAGATGTTTTTCCTTTTGCCCAGTATCATCTCACCTTAGGTGCATTGTAATTAAAACACTATGATATGCCATAAAACAAATTCACACTGTCACTTATCTCTTGCATATACTTACTTTGGGAAATCATACAGCACTATTACCATAGGCTTGTTTAAGCAATGTAAAACCAAGGTCTTCCTGTGGTTCTAACATGGACTTCCTAACTTGTCTGAGAGGAAGTGGGTAATTGATTAATAATTACTAACCAGACTAGCACTGATGGACAGAGTGACTATCTGGCTATATCATTCCAGTAAGGAATGAAGGTGACATGTGGTGCAGGGCATGAAGGCATTTCTATAAGGCCGAGAGTCATTTTTATTATTATTTATGGATTTGTAGGATATTATTTTGATAACAGAAAAAGAAACAAATTAACCTGTGTCACCCCAGCTCTTTTGTGTTTGTGCCGGCTGCGTGCAGCTTCGTAGTTATTCCGGGAGCGAGGTGAGCGAGGGGCTCTTTTTGCCACTGCGGCTTCTTTTCAGCACAGATTGGCGGAAAGAGTCGCTAAACACAGGGGAGGGGAATGAGAAAAGACCTCCTGGTAATTACTGCGGATTGGGGGTGAGGGAGGGTCGGCATCCGCAATCTCTGAATTTTTACCGCTTGCCTAAACAGCATTCAGGCTCCTTGCCCCAAGTCACGCTTCCGTCAGGATCCGAGGGTGATGGCGATGGCTTCGGGCAGACACAACTGTGGCCACAACTGCTACGGCTACTGCTGAGTCTGTTGGAGCTGCTACTGCTGTTGCCATCACAGCTGCTAGAGCTACTGCTGCTGCCACTGCTAAATCTAAAGCTGCTTAAGCTGCCGCTGATGTGGCCCTTAATAATTTGACCATTACTGCTACCACCACTGCTGTCCACCATCAATCAGATGTATACAGCACAGCTTTTGAGGAAAGCATCCAATTCCTATATATTGCTTTAAAAAATGTTACAAAATATATTAAAAAAATCTTACGGAAGATGATTAGATGGGTTAAATAATAAAAAAAAGATTAAATGTTAGGGATCGGTAAATGGTTGCAAAACTAATGAGCTTTTACACACCCCAGTCCATGGGAATTTCTCTAAGCAAACAAACCAGCAAAGTTAATTACAGCTGTATGAGCCCAGAACCCAACCCCATTAGGACATCATCAGCCCTGAACAGGGGAAGGATGAAAATAAAGGGACGATTTTAACCTTGGCTTAGTTTAGGGTACACTTTGCTTGTAACCTTAGAAGGAAGGCTACGGACATTTCAAAAACAAATGCGAAGATAGCCGT